GCGAGTTCAAGCCTGTCTCCCCCGAGTGTACATGGAGCCTGCATGTGCCGTCTGCGTGCCGCTGCAGCTGCCTAGACACCCACAGCAGCAGCAGCAGCAGCAGCAGCAGTAGCAGCAGCAGCAGCAGCAGCAAAGTTCGTATGGCGCGAGGCCCCGATGGCTCGCTGCTGCTGGAGCTGCGGCGCTGCAGCAGATGCGGCGGCTTCCCCTTGGCTTCCTTTGACTATGGAGCAGCAGCAGCTAGCCACATATAACTGCAGCAGCAGCAGCAGCAGCAGCAGCAGCAGCAGCAGCAGCTAAACTATAAATATCAAGCCCTTAGCCTGAACAGTTGCTAGCGGGGGCCCCCCTGCTGCAGCAGCAGTTGGTAGTGGGGGGCCCCCAATTAAACCAGCTGCAGCAGCAGCTGCAGCTGCAGCAGCAGCGCAGGGGTCCCCCCCCTGTTGCATCAGCAACTGTGTTGCAACGCATGCATGCATGCAACACATGCATGCAATGCATGCATGCAATGCATGCATGCTTGCAACACATGCAACGCATGCATGCATGCATGCATGCAGTTGAGGTGTATAGGCAGGTCTAGGAAGTAAAAGACTGCGAGCGCAGCCAAACACACAAATCGCTGGGTACCCCCAAAGAAGAGATAGATGCTGTATACCTGAGAGAAGAAAAATAAAAAAAAAAAAATAAATGTATTTATTTTTATTCTTTTGTTTTTGTTTTGTTTTTGTTTTTGTTTTTGTTTGTTTGTGTATTTACTATTCTTTTGTTTTAATTTGTTTCCTTCTGTTTATTTCTATCTTTTTCTCTTTCACTGTAAACCCTAAACCCTAAACCCTAAACATTTATATATCCTTCTATAGTTATATAATATCTAATACATAATATATTATAATCTAGGATTTAGGGTTTAGGGTTTAGGGTTTATAAACTAACCTCTGATGCGCAGGAAAGGTAGAGGGGAGAAAGGCCCCGTGCTTATCTATGGCGGCCCCTTTTATATTTATATGAGAAAGAGAATACACACAACGTTGTAGTATATTCACAGAGTGTAGGCGAGAGAAAGCGCGCAGGAGACTCTATAAACAAATAAAAAAAGAAATAAATAAATAAATAAATATATAAATAAATAAATAAATAAATAAAAGAAAAAAATATATGTTTGTCTTATTTTTATTTTAATAGCGTTGTAGTATATTAACAGAATGTAGGCGAGAGAAAGCGCGCAGGAGACTCTATAAAAATAAATAAAAAAAATAAATAAAAAAATAAATAAAAAAAGAAAAGAAAGAAATATATATATTTATCTTATTTTATTTTTAATTAAAATAATCAAAATAAAACAAAAAAAAGAAAACAGATTATAATAATAACAACAATGTAAATAAAAATAAAAAAAAGAAATAGAGACAATAAAAATAAAAATAAAATAAAAATAAAAAT